AACCTTTCACCTGTGAACCGCAAAATTCATTATGGTATAACTTCCTTCTTGCACGTTTTAAACTTCGATCAAATATGTTGGTTTTAAGAAACTTTTTAGGCCATTTCCATCTTTAACGTATCCTTACTTAATATCTACTGAATGCGTAAGATGGCTTTCAGAACCAAAAGATTAACTAAGGGGTCACGAATTTTGGGGCATCGACTGTACCTCAACTAATTATTTTGAAATATCATCAGGTCAATTTCCCTGTCCCTGGACCGATCTACGATGATCCCACAGACCATGACGGTCTAGTCCTCATCAGAGACCCGTCAATACCATCGCATGTGACCAGAAAATTGGTATCAGGCTTCCAGGAATTCACATTGGTGGATAAGGAAGTCTCTTGCCGATTCCGCATTAGGATGAATCAGAGAGGTGGACAACAGGTATGTGAGAGATTTTATTTTAAGCTACAAGCCTTAATAGATCGTTGCCTTAACCTTTCACTATACATAACTATACATTCGTTATTCCTAAGAACTTTATATATTCCTATTAAATTTATGCCTGGAACGCGTCACGTTTTTACACACGACGTTTAAACATACTTATGTTTAATTGATTTTTTTTTCGCTGTGCTTAAAAGTGTTTCAAGCATGCATGCTGCTTTAAAAATAAAAGGTAAGATTATTAATCTGTTATTGATATTCACTATCTTACATTTGTCGTCTGACAGAAAGTAAGGGAACACATAAATAAATATAATACAGAACAATAAACGTTCTCCTTCTTTTGCAAATTCTGTCATTCACTATGTAGGGTAGTGAACGGTTGGCTTTCAGTCATGGCTGCTTTTCTACTAACCTTATTTAAAAACCCAATGCTGAACTCTTAAGGCGTTTGAGCACTGCGTCCGATCCGTATCCGAGAAAATACGGATAATACTTGTACTTCTAGAGACTCAAAATTCTGAAAATTCTGGTGCTGTGTCTGGTGTTATGTGTGTGTGTGTGTGTGTGCATACAGTGTTCGTTAACTATGTCCCATTTCAATTGTTGTCAACTCTTGGGATTGTCATTCTACACACGAAGACGTAGGGGAAATAGAGTGTTCTGGGTACACCTCCTGATTAACCGACATTTCAAAGGAACGCTTTATAATAATAAATACCTAATTTAAATAACCCATTTAAATAACAAATTACACCCAAAGTCACGACAGAAGTAAATGTAGGCCAAACAAATATTTCTTCCAGCCTGGGAATCGAACCTGGGACCTCTGCGTGGCAGTCCGGCATGGTAGCCGTTCGCCACAGCGGCAGTCATACTATAAAAATGTGTAGTTATTACCAAGGCCGGTTCAGTACCTGGATTGGTTGCAGTCCGCATCGCGTTACTACAATACTGTTGTAGTGACTTCAATCCGCGAATAAAATTAACCGAATTGAAGGTATTCTCAACTTCGGAAGACGGAATTCGGATTTAGTGCGCAATGTCTCAATAGTATTACGACATTTCGGGCTACCATTTATCGGATTCGGAACATACGAATTAACACAGCGCGAATAGTATTGCCGTCTGGTGGGTTTGTTCATATTTGTTGTCAAAAATAAGCATAAAATACCGTTCATTTTTTAAAACAATCTGTCACCGTTGCTACGCAAAATATACTGTGATTGGAAATAAGTAGCAACTGGTCAAAGTTTGTTGCACACTGTATAACAGCTTACTTAGTTGTACTTTTGTTTTAATATTATTTAATATCACCAAGGTTATTTATGTACTCCAGAGTCACGTGTACCGAGCAATCGTGTTCGACGGCAGTAACAAACATCTCCGACATTACGTCGGGGTTGCTTCGTGCTCAATTATCGCTTGCAAGACCGAGGATATAAGTAGCTGTCCTTATAAGTAAGTAAAACCAGATAGAGTTAGAGTTTCGACTTTCGCCGTATTGCGGAATAAACTAATTGTAGTAATTAGTCAATCAACTTGTTTACCGACATTCAGCTGTCCCAATAATGACTAATATTTTTTACAATTTTTTTAATAAAAAATGTTTTCTTTATCTGTAGTCTAACTCTGGTCTTGACTCTTTTCATGACCTTGATAATAATAATAATAATTTTCATTTATCTGTAAACATGGTTTCTTAAAAGGAACCTCCTTTAGGCGTCGCCTGTGTCAGGAGGCGCCAGTCTTTCGTGCGTGCGTTCGTGCGTGCTTGCGCGTGTGCGTGTGCGTGTGCGTGTGCGTGTGCGTGTGCCTGTGCGTGTGCGTGTGCGTGTGCGTGTGCGTGTGCGTGTAAGTGTGTGTGTGTGTCTGTGCGTGTGCTTGTCGTGTGTGTGAGCGTGTGTGAACCTTAAACGCTGGGTGAGGAGGTAATTTACAAAAAACGTAAACAAGGAAGCAGTGACCTTTTCTTTTTTCAGACAACAAATTACGGTTAAGGAAATGAGAAAATTTTTAATTTTAATTTAATTTCTTTAAATTCTTTTTAACCGACTTCTAAAAAGGAGAAGGTTCTCAATTCGTCTGCATTTTTTGTAGTTATTGTTTTGTAGTACCTACTTTAAAAATTAAAAAATTTTAAAAATTGCCGTTGCTATCGATTATGACGACTATCAATTCAGATTTTTATTTTTTATTTTCTTTACGCATGAACCAGTGATGGTAAAAAAGTTAATTGAGCCTGATTTAAAAAAATATTATTAGTGGCATCAAAAGGGTTCAAAAGTAATTTATATGGATAATCTCTCTCATTTCAGGTTTGATCGTCGTGATAACAGTTATGAAATACAAGAATTAAGCATACAAGTGACAACTTATCGTCAACAGTACAACAATACATTAAAATGCAGCAACACTGTTTATTTTCCTGTTTCATTGCAAAACAATAGATTTCCCTTAGAATCTAAAGATTATGTATATTCAGATCAAAATGGCGGCCTTAAACAAGATGGCCGCGCTCATTTGAAAATAGAACTAAATCGCAGTCAAAATAGTATTGTAGCATTCGGTATTTATGGGAGATTATACTATAAAGATGTTGTGCAACAGCAAATAGTTACAGAAAAGGATATACAAGCGTACAGGGAATTCGAAGATAGGATTTTTTCATCTAGAAATGAGAAACTAGCGGATGAATCGAACAAACTTTAAGATTTGGTATCTAATAAGTGCCTGATTGTGACGTTATACGTAAAAGGACTAGTCGTTATTATGGACTGCCACGTACCAACATGGTGTATCAGGGATAAGTCTAGTATAAGAAATAAAGATACTCGTTTTGCTATTTTGGATGACTTTGTTTTACTTCTTAATATAATCTACCTATTCATAATTTAGACGAAGCCTTTATGTAAGCTGCTAATAAAGTAAATTTCAAATGAAGTTTAAGTAAGTACTAATTATTAGATAATGTTACGTACATGTTATGGGTTTACGTTCTTAAATCTCTACCACTTAGTAAAACTGAGAAAAATGCCCTGAATGGTGATTAAATCTACGAAGTACTACAGGGAAGGGTCTTAAGGTCCAACTCTATTTTATACAATACAATTCAAAAAGTCGCTCACTCCCAGCTCTAACTTAAAATCAGGTTCAATAGCGAAATCTAACTGTCTGTGGGTGATTAGTTTGATCTGTTTTTTAATTCCAGCAATACGAGTATCGAGCCGCGGCTTTTTCTGGAGTGAGAAGCTTCTCTGGCGTGGCAACTGGCGGTAACAGAGTTTGTGCTGTCTTTGCCTGCACTGGAGACGATCTGGAATCTTGTGGCCGAAGGTAATGTATACATTATTTACAGTAGCGGATTTGCAGTCTAGGCTGTCCTAGGCCTCAGGCTAACGAAGCGCCCAGCCGGCATGATTTTTTCCGACATCTTCAACATTTATCGTTATATTTCAGCCCACTTACACAAAACCTAAATAAATTTTGCACTTAAACCTTCCTCATAAATCACTTCGTGTATTGGTGGAAACCGCATGAAAATCCGTTTAGTAGTTTATGAGTTTATCGCGATCAGACCGGCAGACAGACGCGGTAGTGATAATATATAGTGATGTAGTGATTATACATTACATGTAACATATCTATATTTGATACATACAATATTATTGTTATACGATGCGGTGCAGTGCGGTCCGCCATAATGTGCGTGATCCTTTAGAATATTTAAGTACTTTGAGTTATTTCTTCTTGTCATCGGTGAATTTTTTGTCACGATAGGCCGTACCTAAAATCTGGCGGCCCTAGGCCCGGTCCTACTGGGTTTTAGGGCAAATCCGCCACTAACTATTTACGCGACAAGGAACAATAAAATTGGTTGCGAAGTATGCCTGAATAGTCTCATATATCGATAAAGCATCTTAAATGAATGCTAAAAAAAGATTGAAATTATGATAACAACGTTCATGTGAACCACTGGCCACATATACCAGAAACTTTAATTTGAAAAAAGAATGACTTGAATCGTCTTTTTCTTTTTCTCATTACATTATACATTACGCCGACGTTTTTGGTAATTTTCTGTTATTTTTGTAAATAGCCATATTTATTTATTAATAAGCTCCCCGAATTTTGTAAAAAAAAGAAACAAAAAACAAAAAATGAATATCGTGAAAAAAAAGAAACAAAAAGCAAAATAAAAACAGAACACGTCCAAAATATTAAGTTGGCGTATTGTTTTAATATTTTTTATTTACACTTATCTTGCGCAGTGTATTACTGCGCAAGGAAATAGTTCCATAAGTGGGTACTTATTAGTAAATAATTAATTAGAAGCACCAATGTCAACAATAAAAACAAATTATAATTAATTTTCCTTAACATAAATGTAAATTTTCATGTTCCTTTATTATTAATCCTTATAATTGGCCCTTTCCATCGGTATCAATGATCGGCTGCATAAAAATACAAAATCTTGTACAAATTCTTTTCACATTTGATCGATTCGATTCGCAAATGAGACAAACAACTTTTTTAAATATCGTCGGTTAAAAGGTAAAACTAACTAATAGCCTAATTGGCCAAAGGGAGATAATTAAGATTTTGTATTTTTTCATTATGAAAAATCACTAAAGGACTGGTATGTATTAAAACATGAAGGACACCACAGACTTACTGAATTTTTCTTGTCATAGATGTTCTTCCCAATAAAGCAAAATTGAAAAAATCTAGTTTTTGAACAAAATGTCACTTAATGAGTTTTACCTTTTAACCGACGATATTTTGAATGCAGTATAACTTACATTACTTATTTTTAAAATAAAACTCACTTTCAATCAGGTGAGCGAGGTCAAATGAGCAATTATTTACCCATACATTTTTTTTCTAAATTTGTTCCCATAAAACCTAGAATAATAAACTAGTATCAAGAGCAAATGAGTTCACGCTAGAGAGAGTCACCGGAGGACAACCGGGAAAAACTGTTTTGCTAGATCAAACGGTTTACGTATGTACTATGAAATAACGCTCTTACAAAAAATATACGATACACTTAAGGATATTGTTTAAAGAATGTGCTAATTTGTTACACGATAGGACGTACTTCATTCGATCATATAAAATCCGGAAAACAAGCTAAGAAGCCCTGTAGTTATTAAATTGACTTTTATCCCAAAATTTTAAAATTGCCCAGCGGTTTAACGACGCGCCGCGTCGCCCACTGCCCCGTCAGTCGACATCAGGCGCTTGTTGACTTGGGATCTGTGTAAAATTTTCTCCGTCTGTTCTTATTTTGTTCATATTAATTGGGCTCGCGTTGAAATACCCCGCCTTAAGCCCAAGCCGAATGTCGCCTACTACTAATAGTCTAATTTCAGTTTTTTTTTTTTCAGATTTAAAAATTTTTCCATAAACTCAACGGCGTCATTCGAAGAATTAACCATTATTGCAACAGTACCAAAACCCATCACTGACACAGCGGTTCAAGCTCACGATTCTTCATACTTTCCAGTCTCTTTAGACGTGTCTATTATGCCTTTGGAAGTCAAAGAATATACGTATACTGAAGAAAGTAATGGAGAAACAACTAATTATACCTTTACATTGAATTCTAATAAGGAATTGTATACTTTTGCAGTGTGGGGTAGAATTTTTGAAAGGGATGGCCTTGAACCAACAAAGCCTTTACATGATTCTAGTTCTGTAAAAGGTTTTAGTAACATTTTGATGATTTTAATTGCTGCTTTTATGGTTTTTAAATAAAAAATATCGTGCTTTTGGTGTAATATCATCATCATCATTATATCAACCGGAAAACGCCACTACTGAACTTAGGTCTCCCCCAAAGATAGCCAGACTAGCCGGTCGGACGCGACGTGCATCCATTAGTTACCCGCCGCCGTACCAGGTCATTCGTTCATGTAGTAGGGCCCCGTCCCACTGAACGCCTTCCTGCGGCAACAGCCGTCAGTTTTCCGAGCTATATGCCCTGCCCACTGCCACTCCAATTTGCTAATCCTTTGAGCTATAGCGGTGACTTCCGTTCTTCTACGGATCTCCTCATTTCTATTCGATCACGCAGAGAAATGCCGAGCATAATTCGTGTCGTTGAGTGACTTTGAACTTTGTGTTGAATGTGTATGAGGCCCATAGTAAGTGACGACGTCTCTGAGCCACTACTCGAAAACTTTTGTCTGTAAGGGCTGCGGTATTGTGTATATATATTCCCGAAAGCTGCCTAACCGAGTCGGATGTAATAAGGCCACTTTTAAATAGAAAACTACCGTGAGACTCGAACGTTACCTTCTTCTTCTTCGCTTTGCTCAATGGCGGTTCCTTCTTTTTAAGATTTCGCCAGTGTCGAGTTTTCCGCTTATCAGAATAAGTTTAAATATGTTTCTGTAAATATGGCCGCCACATAGAGGATAGGCAATTTGAGGCGGCGTGCTTGGATTGACTCGGGATTCCTTAAAACGGGCCGATACGGGTATTTTAGTTCGAGATTCGTATAATTTCGCGTTTTAATCTTCGATTAAGGCACAATAGCACTATCCTATTCCACTTTAAACTAGATTTCACAAAATAATTGAAAGTCAAAATAAAAACGACACTTTTCCCTCCAAAAGGTCCAGAGCGAATCCACTCGAACGTTAAGTAAACCAACGGATAACTCACGTATTTATGTCTAATTTTTGTTAACCATGTTTTGAACCTGTCCGGAGTCCTTAATCATGAGCTTCATATAGCCGGTACCCCAGCTGGAAAACAATGTTAGGTGCTTAGTGTGGATGAGGCGTTAGAACGTGACGTATTTAGGGTAGGACATAAGAATGGAGCAAACGAGGGTACTTGCTCGCCGCCGCTGCCTGCGCCCGTACCCGTACCACAATTACTTAAGAGTCTATACCACCTCAAATGGCTTTGGTTGATTCGCATAACAGTGAAAGTGTTGAATCAATCGCTTTGGAAAAAATATATAGTAAAATGGAGAATATACACTGATTACTATACGTTGTGAAAATACGATTCCTAAAAATTTTCACGTTGGAAAAAAAACGCAAACTTACCTCGAAATTAATTAAATTTTTATTGAATTGATATTCAATTATTTTTTGTGAAATTACTCCACTAGTTTGTTATAATTATTAATACAAAGATCGAACACTCCGAAAAAACACTCAGTTAGTCACTTACAATTTTCAATAAAAATTTAATTAATACAGTGAATAGCGACATCTCTCGCCAGGACTGGTAGCTGTAAAGGTACTAACTGGGTGATAAATCTGTAATAGATTTCTCATAGATGGCGCTACGACTAAAAAGTCGTTGAAAGACCAAGTACAAAGACACGACGCAAGCACATAGAAAAATTCGTGAGGTCCGTTGGTTCGTTCCGTGGCTTAGTTGGTATAGCGTCTGGCACGGTATGCAAGAAGACGTCGGTTCGAATCCGACCGGATCGAAGGAATTTTTTCTGAGTGTTTTTTCGGAGTGTTCGATCTTTGTATTAATAATTATTACCTCGAAATTTTACAACAAAACCGCTGTATTCAATAGGCGCATTATATAAACCCATGATTTTTCAATATCAACTGAACTAAATAGAACAAGTATAATATACGATATATATTTTTCGAATGGTTTTAATTTCGTTTGTGAAAAGTAATTCTGAAATAAAGCCAGTGTCCCTGTCGCTTGACTCAAGCATAATGATCCGTATAATTACGGGAAAATTTTGAATTCGAGCTGAGGAAGTATCGACTCTTAAATACGTGGCTTATCCCTTAGTTTAGGCCACATCTGCAAAATGACAACTTTCCAGGACAGAGGCTTATAGATTCTACGATTGAGTAGAAGAATACTTAAGCACTTTTGACGGATTATCTGTCGTGCTTACAATATTAACAGTATGTATATTTGAAATATATATAGACTTACATTCTTATCGTAAGCACGGCAATATTGCCAAGGATATTAACAAGGTTACAAAATAAGATGCTCAAAAAGAACATAACTTCGTAAGATTTCCCCGTGTACTCTTTTAAAGAGCATCTACGTATTGTAGAAATTGTTGTTAATTTTATTTTATTTTGCAAACTTTTCTTTTATGACATGTTGTTATTTTTGTTATAGGTATTGTATGTGAATAAATCATTGTTACAAATTGTTGTTTTACTCCACTTTTAAACTCGTCGGCTCAATTTATAAACCTCATGACCTCCATTAATGTGCACTTAAGTGCAGGCACAAAAAACAGAACTACCTATTAGATACAATCTATGATACCTTGATTTTTATAACTAAAAAATAGTCTACAAATTATATTTTAAGCTTAATTGCCCGATATGTGCTTGAAGAGTAAAAATGGAATCGGAATCCCTCCGACTAAAACGGAGTTACGAGGTTTTCTAATTTCACAGACGACATGTAACCTACACTAACCAAACCTAATAAAATGAAAATGCTGAACAACCAGTTTTATCATGATATCCATAATATTTTCCCAGCGGTTCAATAAAAGCCGACGATGACGGCCTAAGGCAAACTGTTATATGATCATAAGACCTCATGTGCGCGCTGGATGGGCAGATATCAATTTGGGAAATTAATTTTCCAGTCAATAGGTCATGTTAACTCTGAGTTGATAATTATGGCGCCGTTTGCGGGGCAATTTATTTTAATTACATTTTTAAAAACATGATTATGGGGACCTCAAAACCTTTATTTAAATAAAATAATATTTTTCTTGGCTGTGTATATCCATTCTCGTTCATTTTAAATACTTGCTGAAAAATTGTCCGATTCCCTATTATATTTTTTGGATTTTTTTAGTTTTCATCTCACCTGATGGAAAGTGAAGATGAGGTCGCCGATGGAGCATGCACACCTAAATAACGTCTATTCACTCTCGCCTTGAAAAGGTCCAAGTTATAACGTTGAGGGAACAAGTCGCAGGGAATTCCACAACACAGCCGTTCGCCTATACATGTGGAAGCGTAACGCTTCGTGCGAATCTTTGGAATATCCACAACTTAGGGGTGGAACCCAAGCCTAGGTCTTGTCCCCCGGTGATGGAAATAGGAAGGCGGAATTAAATCGTGTTATTCCATCGCACACACATATATCCTGCAATTTATTATGTTACTCGTACTTTCAAATTCCGTAAATATCCGTTGATTCGTATACTTCGTTCGTAGATTGTGTAATTAAAGAGCAAATTCCACAAAGGACTCAGTCTATTTACTTTTTGTATTTTTTTATATATTACCTACTTAAATTTTTATATATTTTTTTATGATACCATGTGATGGAAAGAACAAGTCGTGGACCTGGTGGTAACCGACACACCTGTCCATAAAAGATGCGGTGTCGCTCAGAGCTTTATATCACAAAGATTTGGGGGGCACTGTCATTGCGCCCGTCATCCTGAGACATAAGTTGAAACCGCTTGACAGCAGAAATAGGTAAGGTGGCAGTACTTCCCTATACGAACTCTCACAAGGACCTCTACTGCCACTCGGTCTACTGTTTGTCGCTCTGTATAAGAGGCGGTGATATGATAGTTTGAATAGCAGTAGAGTTCGTCCAGGGACTGCCACCTTGCCTATTTCTGCCGCCAAGCAGTAATGTTAGCATTACTGTGTTCCGGTTTAATTACAGGCATATGGGACTTGATAACGTATGTCTCAGGGTGACAGGCGCAGTGGTAGTGCCCCTCAGATCTTTGCGGTTTAAAGCTCTGTTATGGACAGGCGTGTAGCTTACCATCAGACACACAACTTGTTCGTCCCGTCACCCGATATTACAAAAAAAAGGTAATTTAATTCAGTTGAAAATTGCACGTAAGATAAACAACAGTTGCGTATGAAACGACTCTTTGTGTAATGTAAATATGAATGCTCAACTTTATAACCTATTTGCCAATAATATAAGATAGGAGTAAGTTAAAACAGTGTAGATGTTTTATCAGTTGAGAAAACACGCGTGGAATTTGTTTTAAATAATTGTATAATTCATTCATTCGTTAAAATGGTTCAAGTGAAACGAGTACTTGTTATTTACACAGGTGGTACTTTTGGTATGCTCAAGAATGAGAAAGGAGGTACGTAAATCGTTTATCAAAATATATATTGTAATAATAATAATTCCGAGTCCTTAACCCCGGCCGACTGTGCCTCTCATTTAAGAATTCAAAATTTATCTTTCAGGCCATAGCGACAGTGTAAAATAGATATCGAAAATAATAATAATATACTGCTTGATATTGTGATACTGAGGTCATTCTCGTACTAGTGTTCACTACCTAATTCCCGTGGCAATTTGTATTATTATTTGAATAATTTTTTTTATTATTTTCAAGTATATTATCCTGTAATTATCAAATAATATTTCACGATACACTACTTGAACATTGAATAATATTGCACGATAAAACAATCGAATACTTAAATAATAAAATTTGTCACGGAAATTAGGTAGTGAACACTAGTTCGAGAATGAACGATTGGATCGATCGCAGTCGAGGATATTTCTTGTAGACTTTACCATCCCGCATGTCGAGGGTCTCGTGAAAGCCGAAACCGAGAAACGTCGGAAGAATCTCGATCTGGCGCACGACATCATCGACATGTAAGACGTGACCTCCGCTCAAATAGTCACCAATTGTTTTGTCCGCAAACGGGTTAATTCCCGTCAGCTAGCAGCTTGAGGCGGTTGGATTTCTGTGTTCCTTCCAATACCAATGCAGAAGGCGATCCGGCGGCACATGTTGTTCGCCGCTTCTTGAACCAGAGTCCCTGACCCCGGCCGACTGTGTCGTTGCACGGGAATACCTAATATGAGAGAGGTCTCATTTAAAAATTCAAAATTTATACACTACCCAGCAAACGTAACGTAGCAAGATGGATCGACGATCTGAAGAAGGTCGCGGGTAGTGGTTGGATGCGGAAAACGGGTGATCGGGCACTATGGCGTACCCTTGGGGAGGCTTATGTCCAGCAGTGGACTGCAATAGGCTGATTGATTGATTGACACTACCCAGTACAACCGTACTGGGAAATTTGTAGTTCCCAGATGGACCCAGATGAAAAGCTCATGGCAAATTTTAAATTAAATTTGTAACAAAAAAATTTAAAACTCAGAGATGCAACTCGGATTTGAACCCTCTGCTTCCGAGAGACCGTCTAGCATGGATTGAAGGAAGGCGCTGTTTCTAATCCATCCGTATCGAAGGGATTTTTCTTAGTTTTCGATCTTTGTATTAATAATTGAGACGAGTTTTTAAGATTTATTTGTAACCAAATCGATCATTTCTAGTTCTTGTGCCTCAAAAGAACATCGAGCAAGTAATCAGGCGACTTCCACAACTGCATGACGAAAATTACTATAAGAGCAAACTCGTTAGATCTGAACTACAGGAGTACTTAGCTCTGCCAGGTATGACCTGAGTTCTTCTTGTTTCCTATGTAATGCAACTAAGCCCGAGAAGAGCTCCTTGTGAAAGAGTTCGTCCAGGGAAGTACTGCCACCTTACCTATTTCTGCCGTCAAGCAGTAATGTCAACCGGTTTTGAAGGATATTTTGTTATATAGTCCTTTAAGAACAAAAATGCAAGGTGGCTCGAATATGTGCCAGGGAATGCAATAATAGTTAGTCTATATACATGTATTATGGTCCCAGGAGTGTAATAATCGATAAGTCTATATATAGTTCTAATGCTGGCCACAAACCTGCTCTCACAATGAGAGGGATTGAGACCTTCACCCACATCATTTGTGTGCAGGTTCCCTCACGTTGTATACCTTCACAGAAGAGCTTATGTTTTTTTTTTTAAATAATATTAAGTGACGGGACTAGTTGCAAGTCGCGCGTCTGATGGTAAGTTACACGCCTGTCCATAACAGTTGCAGTACCATTCAGAGCTTTAAATCGCAGAGATAAACTTTTATGAAGTTTGGGAGAACATTATCTTATTTGTAAAAAAATGTAATTGACAAGATAAATAAATTAAAAAAAAAAAGATCTTAGGGGCACTGCCGCTGTGCCCGTCGCCCTGCGACATAAGTTGACAAGTCCCATGTGCCTGTAATTTCACCAGCACCCTTACCCTTCAAAACCGGAACGCAGTCATGCTAACATTACTACTTGGCGACAAAAATAGATAAGGTGGCAGTACTTCCTTGAACGAATTCTTACACAAGGATCTCTACTGCTGCTAAAAAGGGAAAATCACGGTAATTTTGAAATTGAATTTCGCACATAAATTCCGAAAAACTTTGAAGTGCAAGCCCAGATTCGAACACTCGACCCTCTGGATGTAAGGGGGTAGATCAAAGGTGAAAGGGGGTATACGCGATTTAGATTCTCAAAATAGTTTCAATGTCATCCATTGCCTATACTTAGAACAAAACGTCATCGTGAGGAAATGTTTCAGATGGTAAGGACACTGAACTGAAAGTGCTATACAAAATATACGAATACGAAGAGTTAAAAGACTCCTCAGACTTCACCATAGACGATTGGATCAAAATGGCAAGAGATATTAAGGTAAGTGTGTGAGAATTGCAGAAATTCTGGCATAACATTTTTTTATGATAGGTTCGAAATGAGTCGTGCGACTAGTGGTAAGCGGTACGCCTCACTAGGTAAAATAGTAGAACAACGGCGTATCAAAGTTGGTTTTCACCGATGTCAGTTATATGAGATACACATTTAATTTTATATTTTAATACTGAATGTTTTTTATGATACGTTAATGTAAGAAAAATACATATAAGAGCATATACACACGACGAATTTTATATGCCGTAAACGCGCGTCATCTGCGCGGAATACGCGCCGCAGACGCATTGTAGCCGCGCGAGTGTGTCGCGCATTTTGATAAAAGATAGTTTTAATTTTGTTTTGTTCGTTAATTTCAGTTAGTTTTTGAAATGAAGCAACTACATGAAATTGTAAGTGTAAACTCCAGTAGAATATATAAACTTCTTGCTTGCAACGCGATGTTTGCGCGCGTTTGAATCGATTCATTACCGCGCATCTGCGGCTCGTATAAAATATGCCGTGTGCCTATGGCTCTAATATGTCCTTTTTTGGAACTTTCGACCATATCCATAGCAATTGCAGTGACTATCAAAGCTTTCAATCTCAGAGATCTGAGGGGCGCTGCCATTGTGCCCGTCACCCTGAGACGTAAGTTGGCAAGTCCCATGTGTAGTAATTTCACCAGCACCCCTACCCTTCATAACCAAAACGCTGTAACGCTATCTTATCCTCTTTAGATACAACAAGCTACAGTGGGACAAGCGCTTAGCGCTAAACGCCCAATGTAGGTTACATTAAAATGTACTCATCAAATTACATACTTCAGTCAGATCCAAGCAAGAATCATTTTTGGATGAATTTGGAACGAAATGGATTTTAGGATCAGTTTTGAAAGAAACCTATTTTTCTAGATACCGGTTATATAATAGCACTAAATTTGAAAGCTTTCTTTCATTAAAAAATATGCGTATACTTGGCCTCCTTATCACCTGTTGAAAAATGACGATGACGTCGACGGATGCCTATACTGTCTGGCCTTGGAAAGGCCCAAGCTATACCGCTCAGGGAACAAGTCTGCAGGCAGGGAATTCCACTCCAAAGCCGTTCGCCATATGTATTTTCATTATAACATACACTGCACGTGCAAGTGCACGAAGACATAAACTGGAAAGAATATTTCTAAATAAGAAGTTTAAAATAAAATGTTGCAACTTTTACAACTATTACGTAACGAAAGTCGTTGAGATACATCATTAATATAGCAACAATTACAGCTTATCAATGAGTACACGCTAGCTAGCAGTTTGATAAATAAATGGAACGAAAGTCAAGGCTGTCATGATGTGAACACTGACGTTAGAAAGGCAAATTGTCAAGGAAAAAACATTGCATAATTATAATTTTAACTTAGGAGATAATTTTATATCGTGGGATACAAATATAGAGATAACATTAAACAACAATAAAACCCGATCTTTTTTTAGCACAATCATTAATGTTACATAATAATATTTACAAATTATTTCGGGAGTTTCTGTATGATGTCGTGTTTCCGTACAGTGCACAAAATTAGGGAAGATAACTTTGCACTCATGACGTTAAAAGGCCACATCTGCAAAATTATAACTATTCAGGAGATAGGTTTAAGAGCTCTCATGCCAAAAAAGTTTTGACGTTGGCTCCGCCCAAATTTGTGAAACAAATGTATGCCTGAAGTTCGCGTGACATGCGACAGGAGATGTTGAATTTTGCGCATTAAAAGCACATTAAAAGTACCAAATTCGTTTTAGCGGAATAACTCTAAAACTAAAGGGATTAAAAAAAAATTCATAGTGACAGTTGTCGATCATACATAAATATAATTAATTACCTAATTTTTGTCCCAATAACCTGTAGCATTTCGAGGATAAATCGAAAAAATGTGAAAATTAGAGGTCATTTCGTGATTTTTATCTATCGAGGAAACTTTATTGTTTTATGTTTCTGATTAATGCCTATGCTTGAATATATCATGTAGTTACTCATACAATATTTTATTTTTAACTTTAAAGTGGATATGGGGTATATCCACCCACTCTAAAATCAAATCGAAGATTAGGAATTTTTCCTCTGCTCCCTTTTAAGGATTTACCAAAGAAATTTGTCGATAACTTTTATACTTAAATAGGAGTTACTTATATTTCATGTTTGTGTTATAGATAATGTTGATATATGTAATATATGACAGTAGAATGATTGCCGTTGTGTCATATATACATATAATTAGTGCCTACTAAAAAGCGTAGCGTGAAAAATACCGTCTAGCAAACCGTGCTAGATGCTATGCCGTGCGTATACGCCTGCTAGAAGACGCTGTTGCGAATCCAACCGGATCGAACGACTTTTTTCAGTGTTCGATCTTGGTATTAACAACGTTTGTATTAAACACACACACACGCACGCACGTATGCTCGCACGCACGCGTTTTTAGCAGCAATAGAGCTCCGTGTGAAGTAGTTCATCCAGAGAAGTACTGCCACCATACCTATTTCTGCCACCAAGCAGTGATGTGAGCATTACTACGTTCGGAGTTAGAAGGGTAAGGGTACTGGTGAAACAGTTACAGGCACATGGGACTTGTCACAAGTTGACAAGTCTCAGGGTGACGGGCGCAGTGGCAGTGCCCCTCACGTCTTTGCGATTTAAAGCTCTGAGTGGCATTGCAACTGTTATGGACAGGCGTATAGCTTACCATCAGACGTTTGACTTGCTGGTCCCGTCACTTGGTATTATAAAAAACTAAAATAAAAATAATTTCGGTACAGAGTGCTAAAAAACCGACCTCAAAAGTACGTGGAATTACATCTATTTGCCAAGTTTTTTTTGAAATTGGTTGCCGGATAGTGAGCAAACCAGGATTCATCCCCTAGTTCGCCACTATACGGAACTTGACACAGGAGATAATAAAAATCGGTTTTCACTACTCAAAGTATATTGACATTTGCGAGACAAAAACGCTTTGAATTAGAGAATAGTAAAATCAACCATTAAAATAATTGCTTTATATAATAAAATTTAGGCGCTATTTATAAAAATGAATCTTCATGCGTGAACAGCCACTCATAGAGGTGGATGATTTTCCTCAAAATCAAATGGGACCACTATGGAGATACCCTCTTTCCAACAAAAAAGAATTATGAAAATCGGTGCACAAATACCGGAGTTATCGCGTAACATACATACAAAAAAACATCCAGTCGAATTAAGAACCTCCTCCTTTTTTGAAGTCGGTTAAAAAAGGGTCGTTCATCTATTTCACCGCAGGGCGTCCTACACTACATTTTCCTTGACGTGGTCGCCATTCCAGAACATGTCTGCTCCATTGGCGATCTACCCTCCTGTAGACATTCCCGGCCTACTGCCACCTAAGCTTACTGATTTTGCGAGTCATGTCGGTCCCTTTAATTCTTTGAAGTATGACCTCATTAGGGATTCGGTCCATCAGATAAACCCCAAGCATAACTCGCTCCATTGCACGGTGAGCGACTTTGAATTTGTGGATGAGGTCTGTTGTTAATGTCCACGTCTCGGTTGTGTAGGACATAACTGGTAGAACTCACTGTTAAATGCTTTAGTTTATAGGCTTTGTGGGATTGACGACCTGTAGATGTAGCCAAACTTCCCAAATGTTGCCCAGCCCAAACAAAATCCCCGGTTGCCTCTCGAAGTTCGAAGAAGTCTCGAAGTGAGCGTATCGAAAGTGTATAAATTTTTATTGTAACAAAATTTCATCTCATAGAGATTCTACCACGACTACGATGGGTTCGTGGTATTACACGGAACAGACACCACGGCATACGGAGGATCTGTACTTTCATTCATGCTGGAGGTTGTTGGGAAGACCGTCGTGCTCACAGGAGCACAGGTAATGAAATGACTTCAGGTAGCTATGACTATTGTCAAATGTTTTTATGGTAGAAAAAATATATTCCTATCATTTGCCGTACCCTACTCATATGTAGTTTGAGAGGTAATTAAGTTTATTTTATTAGATAATAAGTTGAAATATACAGGCAAGGTACAATAAAACTGCCATTCTCAGTGTTCTGTGTTCAGCCTAATAACCGTAGACATTTCGGTGTTCTCGGCCTAATTACCGTAGTTATTGTTTTGCTCGCTCATTATACCCAATAACATTGAAATATGAAAGTTTCAGCTAAACTATCAATATGTGTAAATGGCATAAGAATAGACAAAGTAGTTTTGGAGTTATTAAGACGCAAATAATATAAAATATTATGGAAACGGTAATTAGATATCCGTGGCTACGGTAATTAGAAAGTTCAAACATTTTTAAGATTTAAGAAGCTTAAAATACTAGAAAGTAAAAATAAATTATATTAATAAAATTGGGTCCCCGCGGCAAGGTGCCCATGATGCTGGCAGCGTTCCTTCTTTGTAAGGCTATGCCAGTGCGTGGGGCAAGGTAGCTGCCGGCCCTTGAGTTTCCCAGGCAGTTTATTAATTTTTTTGGATAAAATTTTGTACAGATGAAGGGAATTTGATTGATTGATATTACCTCCGGGAATAAAAGCCAGACGGACAGAAGCCTCGATGTCAAAGGACGAGACGTCACAGAAATAAAACAAATATTCAGGGATAGGTAAAGCAAAAAAGCAGTGGTAGCCTAATAGTTTAACCTACTGCCTCTCAAGCAGAAGCCGTGGGTTCGAATTTCGGGCTGGCACGTCTGAGTTTCTCGAAATTTATGTGCGAAATTCAATTTGAAATTTATTATGACCTTTTTGGTGAAGGAAAACATCGTTATGAAACCTGCGCGTCGAAGAGGTTCCTAATCCTCGGAAAACGTATAAAGTCTCCAACCGGCCAATGCCGATTGGAGACTTTATAGGGCCAGCGTGGCGGACTATGGCCTAAAGTCTCGTATGAAAGAGACCCGTGCCCACCAGTGGGACGTATAAATGGGTTGGTGATGATGATACGTGAAAGCTCTTTTTATTGAAGTATAATTTCATTTAAAATTTTTAGGTGCCGATTTTCCAACCTCGAAGTGATGGCAATAACAACCTCTTATGTGCTCTTCTCATCGCAGCTACACTCCACATTCCCGAAGTGACAGTATTCTTTGGAGCTAAACTCTTCAGAGGATGCAGGTTAGTAGCAGTAGAGCTTCTCGTCAAACAGTTCGTACAGGGAATTACTGACACCGCACCTATTTCTGCCTCCAAGCATTAATGTGAGCTGTACGGTGTCACGGTTTGGATGGGTGCTGGTGAAATTACAGGCACGTGGGATTTGTCAACTTAAGTCTCCGGGTGACTTTGCGATTTAAAGCTATGAGTGGTACTGCAATTGTTATGGACAGGCCTGTCGTTTACCACTCACTTCACTTGGTATTATAAAAAAAAAAACAACAATTACAGGCACAAGGTACTTCTCAACTTCGGTTTCAAACTTTGACAACGGTAGTACCCCCACAGAGCTTTGTAATAGCCTAGCGCCTAATTGGGCGCTTAGCACTAGGCGCACGAACTATTCATCCCGTTACTTGATTCTCCAGAGTAAAGAAAGTATCAAACACACGTATCTACGCCTTCGACTCGCCGAACTTCCCACCTCTACTGGAAGCGAAGACTACCCTGGACATCGATCCGAAGATGCTGATCCACCCCCCTGGCTCCGTGCCCAACGAATGCAGGTTACATGATAAGTTGTCCACGAAAGTATATGTGCTTAAAGTTGCTCCTACCATTACACCGGAGGTTATTCGTGCAGTCTTTGAAGGCATGGAAGGTAAGTTTTATTGTTAAATTATTGCCGTTAGTTAAGCACTTTGAGTATTACAGTTAAGCACTTTGAGTATTACTGGCGATGGTTCAGTTTCATTGACAGTCCTATAACTTTGAGGAAGACATATTCTTTCATAAATTGATTTGTGTCTACCTGCCCTAGACAATGTAAAGAGTAATGTAGATTCTCAACAATAAAATATATTTCTTTGAATGACAGTTTTCGAGCGGCTTTAATATCTTTGTTATTTTGCATTGAAAGAAGTATTCACTTCATGGTACGAGGCTAAGTTATTTGTCCTCTTTAAAATTGTAATATAATATTGTGCCAGATAAAGAAAGAAAGAAAAACGTTTATTCATAAATTTGGGTCACTATACACACTACAATCTAATTCTTAAGACTAAAACAACGTGACTGAGTGATTTTAATAAGTAAGTGCGCATAATGGCGCAAACGAGGAAAAGGATACCCACGACTCAGCAATATGTCTGTCTCTGGAGAGACAGACGCCGATTTTCAGTCGTTCTTGTTTCAGCGTCGACAGATACCCGAGGTAATGGTAATTGACGTGTGTATCCTCTGTTGTATGCCACATTACACATTTACGACACACGAGCGATACACGTCTACTATTATATAAAAGCTTAAAGTAAATATACATAAATATAAACAAGTAAGATAACAATATTTATCAACGACTTTTCAGCCGTAGCGCCATCTATGAGAAATCTATGAAAGTATTTCGTCACCCAGTTAGATAAATTTACAGTTACCAGCCCTGGCTAGAGATGTCGCTATTAATTGTAATTAAATTTGTATTGAATTGATATTCAATTTTCTTGTGAAATTACTACACTAGTTTGTTATAATTATTAATACAAATATCGAACACTCAGAAAAAACTCCTTCGATAATTGAAATATATTATCAAATTCCTTGTCTTAAACTAGGAAATTCCCTGTACTGTGAGTACCAGAGCAACATAATTCAATCGGCACTACTTAGAACAATTTAGGAATAAGAAGTCCTACCAGGACCAATTTAGGAAATGATTACTAAATTCCTTCCAGTGCCCTTGGTGCAAACCGTTGGTCCACTGAGGTCTTTATTCAATTGCCTAATACATATATATTTTATGTACCCATATTCTACAATACTTTGCTCTATATTCAATACCGCTTTCGCCGTATTTATGTTGTCCCGTTCTCTAGTGACAGGAGCTACTATTTATTTATTGGAATAACAACAGCTTATTAATAATACTAGATTACATTAAAATTATATAAAACAGAACACAGTCAGTATAGTTTTCCTCTAATTACATGCGAGAGCACTTATGAATGACTGAACTGAAAAACTAGATGATATAATAATAATACATATTGGATGTACATAATACGTATTAAGTATAACATAAATATTCTACTAATAATATTATACATAGGATTATGATAAAATTTAACAATTAGCTACGTCTTGCGTTTAATAATAAGTTTGATTTTGGATTGAAATAAATGTTTTTTATATACAAACGGATCTACTTCATTAAAATTATTATTATGGAACCTGACCTATCTAGTGAGCACAGCGTTCTTGCCATAATTTGTAGAATGAAACGGTACATGAAACTAAGTAGTGTGTGTAGGTATACCTACTTGACTTACCAAATCCGGGCAGGCCAATCGAACATTGAGCACTTCTAACAACTCCGTACTACGTTACTTTCAGGCGTAGTCCTAGAGACGTACGGCAACGGCAATATTCCAATCAAGCGCAAAGAGATCTACAAAGAAATAGAGCGCGCGGTCAAGAACAACGTGTTGGTCGTGAACGTCACGCAGTGCATCAACGGCACAGTGCTTGGGAAGCCCATTTATGAGACTGGATTGGTGAGTGAATTATTTATTGATATCAAAGGTTACTAGCGGTAGAGCTCCTTGTGAAAGAATTCGTCCATAAAAGTACAGCCACCAATCAATTTCTGCCGCCAAGGGTTGAGCATTCCTATGTTCCAGTTGTGAAGGGTAGGGTGCTGGCGAAATTTTGGGCATATGGAACTTGTCAACTTTATGTCTCAGGGTGACGGGCGCTTTGGCAGTGCCCTCAGATCTTTGAGAATTAAGGCGAGGTTTGTGAATGCGAGCCTACATTTTAGGAAGTGAGGTTTGCGGAGCTGCCCGGTCGACCCGCAATCAGCACGCAGAAAATTAATATGATTAAATAACAGTCAGAGACAATTTGACCCAGATCAGAAGTTGGCAAGCGCCTGATAGCGATTGACGGGGCAGCGGGAGGCGCGAGGTGTCGTTAAACCTTTAGGCAATTTTCAAGTGTTGGGTTAAATGTGAATTTAATAACTTCAGGGCTTCAGTAGAAAACCGAAATTTAGCTGATTCTTAACTCCAAATATCTACATATAAACATTAAGTGAAGTCAGATATTTCATTCTTAAATAATTCGTTTTACACTTTTAATTTAGCCTGTTTTCGGGATTTTAAATGATCGGATAAAGTACTTCCTATCGTGGTAACAAACTAGCACATTCTTTAGACAATAACCTCAGGTCATCGAGTATATAACCAGAAATAGAGACGAAATGTCATTTAATTTGTTTGAAAACTGTTCTGCCATATCATTACTGTGACAACTGCGCTCCGATTGGCTAACCTGAGTTCGAAACAATTGACGAGTGTCGTCAATGGGTGTCGTCAACTGTTTCACTTCAAATCGACCAGTTAACTTGAGCTTTGCTACAATGGACGAAAATTGCAAAAATAAAAAATATTTAATATTTAATTACCGATGAAATGTGATTCCGTTTGTTTTGTAATTAGATTATTTGCTGTTTTTCCCACGCCACCGAATAGAACAGCACGGCATTGTTAGAGATATTGTCTTTATTACAATAAATACAGAATATTTTATGGAATATACGGAGACGTACACACAGGTCAGTAGTTGGCCTGTCTATATTTCAATGCAAACAAGAGTTGATATTTATAAGAGCTGTATCGCTAATGTGTTACCAGGAATCTATGGCCCTTATTTCGTCTCTATTTCTGGTTATATATTCGATGCCTCAGGTGTATCGTATATTTTGTAGTAGGACCATTCTTAAATAGTAAATATCTAAAACATTTCATCTAGAACCGCCTTAAAACGCTGAGTGGTACTGCAACTGTTATGGATACGCGTGTCACTTGCCACCAGGCGCACGACGTGCTCCTCCAGTCACACCGCATCATAAAAACGTTTCGTTCCAGCTCCTCATTGAATGCGGTGTAGTACCGGCGTTCGACATGACAGCTGAAGCAGCGCTTGCCAAGCTGTCCTACGTGCTTACGAAGACCGAACTCACTTATCAACAGAAAGTGGAGGCAAGTTTTACTCATATTATTTACTCAGATTACACGTTAAATTTCGTTTATTGATCACCAAACACAGATGATAAAAACAGAGAATAAAGGAGGGAACTGTTGAAGACGTGCTCGTGCATACAAATTTGATCACAAGTACGTGTAAATACGATAGCATTTACAATGTCTTCTTTCTGTTACCAGTATCGAAATCTTTTGCTAGTTACTACAAAGGACTGTAAATTATATTTTTGACTTTTTTTATTACTTCTTTTTTGATTACTTCATATCTACCTATATTTTTTAAAGACAACAAGAAGAAAATGAAAAGTAAAGGCAAAGTATTAAAAATCATATAATCTGGATTGTGCTGTTATGTACGCTAGTGTAATGTAAATTGTACCTTATGAACATAATTTATATTAAATTTTGCTCAATAAGAGCATCTACATTTAGAGGCCAAACAATTAATAATTATTGTGTTAGTTTGTTCATATACGTCATTAAAATAACTAGTTCTTTAAAATTCCCAAAATCATACTTGTCAGCTTCCCCCATCAAACAGTATTTTCTTCTATAACAATTGTATTCCTTGTCCACAGTTAATGAAGACAAATATACGAGGAGAACTGTACAACCCGAGTCATGCGTAATAAAAATTTCTTTGAGTGTCCGTTTCGAAAGTAAACAAGACAATGTCTAATACCTAAACTCAAGAACTTTAAGAAAACATCATTGATAACGCGGTAAAGCGTCAGCGTGCATTTTATGATTGTCGCGATATCAGTGTTGGAGCACTGCAAATGTGACATTGTAAAATTAACGCTATCAATGACGCGTAGGTGGAATTCCAAATTTAAAAAATACAACCACATTATTTTAGCGCTTGCTAGATATGAATTCCAATTATAAATCTGTTATTTGTCGTAAAGATTTTATTTCCCTTATGGCCTTCAGTAGTGTTGTCTAGTAGGAAGAATTTAGAAAATATACTTATGTCATGCGATTATGCACTTCGAAATGTAAAAATATTAATATTAAGAAGTGGCCAGTGTCCCTAATTACAAGAATAAAAAACTACTAAATCAAATTACACGTTTATTTTTCAAAAAATATTATTATTTACTCCCACTATATTTGAGGTTCAGTGTGAATATCAAAGATGCTACAAACAAAAATAAAACATATCTTAATTATGTAGTAACAAACAACTTAAAAAAGAATAATAAGAATAATTTGCAGTTTGTAATTTGTAAACATGTTTTAGAAAAGTTCTAAATAGATAGCACCTAAAAAATATTATCAAAAAAACAAAATTTTCTTCTGAATTTTGAGAAAAATGGAAATTAAAAAATTTTGGCGCCAATTCTTATTATATTTACTAAAACCACTACACACTCCACACTAAAGTACAACCACAGTCACAAGTGCTATTTTAAAACAAGAAAACATTCAGGTGATACATTATTATTATTTAGGATATATAATATGGTAGTTTTATATTGATTATGATTTCACAATTGTTTTCGAAAGTATAACGAAAACTAGGACATTTGAAGACAGTTTTAAAACTTTATTAGTTGAATATTTCCTTAAGTGATAAAAAAAATTGTCAATCATTCTAATAATCCAGTAGAGTGTCTGTACTGCACGCATTAGTAGATGAAACACACTTTTTTTAATCAAAGGCAGTGTCCCGATAAAACATGAACACTTTGTCAAATGCATAAGATACATAAGTTAATAATTCTAAATATAATTGTAAAAAATCTAATTCCGTTACGAATATAACTAGCCACATATTGTACATGATCCATAAATTATTCTTTAGCTGCGATAATTAAATATAAAATTACAGATACATCTCTGATTAATATGTAAGTGATCTCATTTATAGTCAAGATAAAAATTACATTTATTTAAGATGGAAAATAAATAAATGCACTTCACCTTTGATACATTTTTATAAAAGCAAAAGCATTTGTACGAGAAAGTTTGTACTTTTAAATAAACATTTATTTACTTACTAAAAACACGTAATCGGTGGAAACACTTCTGCTTTTGAAAGTCTTATTGTATTCTTCGAATTCGCATTTTTTTCGTAAGTTCGAAATATTCGCAAAGAGTTGTCAATATATTTGAAGTCAAGTTTAGATTTCTTTAATAAAAACTTCGAATGCTGAGGTGAACATATAGATACGCCAAATGCAGAATTATTAACGTCGTCTTAAGAAATAGCCTTCTTTGTAGTCGTCGCTGCCGGTTCTTGTAGGACAAAAAAGAACAAATGTTATTAATGCTCTTTCTTCAAGATACAAATAGGGTAAAGGTTGAAGCAATCAGGACCAAAGTTGAGGCAAACAACAAACAGTTAAATTTATATCCAGGTTGGAAAAAATCAATGGGACATGGAGGACCTTAAATGCCAATTTTACTTAAAGAAAACATTTTTTTTTTTAAATAACGCACACACTCAACATAGCCTCGCACTAGGGAAACCCTGTGTCGCGGGTGTCATGGACACACACATAGACAACCACAAATTACACCCAAACTCACGAGAGAAATAATTGTAGGCCATACAAATATTTCTCCCGGCCCGGGAATCGAACCTGGGACCCCTGAGTGGCAGTCCGGCATGGTAACCGTTCGGCCACGGAGGCAGTTAAATTAAATTTAAATTAAATTGTTTTATTAATCTTAATATACAGTGTTGATTTGCATTCTCGCTATATTTAAGAAATTGATAATAGAAATAATGCTAAATCATCTAAAAATATTAAAAAATATATTCTGTTGTAAATTCTGGCTAATTGTACCTAGTAAAGTTTTGCAAAATTGTCTCGAAGTTGTGTACACCACGCAAGGGCAGTGACCCCGCCACCCGCTTCACCGAGCGATACGTAATCTTTCCCGATCGCTTATTTACCTATTTTTTAAATTATGTTTATGTACTAGTATTGTTATAATTTACTATTTATTTACAACAATTGGAAAAGTTGACTGATAAAAGTTTTTTGTAACTTAGATTTGGTACTTACCAACTTTAAGTTACATGAAAGTAGTGCTAGAAGTACCTAGCTCCAGAGCTGGTGGCTGGCTCATCACCAGCTGCGCAGAGATTCGCACGTGAGTTTCGTTTCAACATTAGACTTCACAACTTTGAAAGCAGAAACTTCGACACTCGTATCCTCCGCGTAAACTCAACGTTTCACATCATGCCATAAGAATAGACACGCACTTCTACTACAATCTCTTTTTTTGCACTACTAACTCTTGTTTACATACCAAACCACGTGGCATGACGTAACAGACTAGAATAGAATGTACCTATGCGGGATGTCAGCGTGACGTAGATGCAGTACGGGAAGCAAGATCGACTGATCTACCAATCACGTGCTCGATACGACACCCCCGCCATCTCCCGCCGTCGCTACCACCCCACCACCAAATAGATCTAAAATGCGTTTCTTTCTACGCATTTAAGGTCATTGTTCAAAATGTTTGCAAGTGCCGTGCAAGTCCTTTGAATATAATTTGTTTACCGCAATTAAATAAAAAACAGGAATGTACGAAATTTTTGTTTGATTTATTTTTTTAGTGATTTGTGTTTCGGATATAGAATGACCTCTGTAAAAATGGCGAGAATGCAAATCAACACATTGTACAAGTATAACCGCAATACCAGATTTTTTTGAAAAATTTTCTTGAGTTGCTTGGGCTGCAGTGCGTCTAACAGCGGCTAATTTAGACGCGCCCTTAGAATCGATACTAATACTAGATTTAATGGACGATTTTTTTTTTATTTTAAGCCCCAATGTTTGTTGGGAAGATGTTATCCTTATCATAGATCGTATCGATCAGTGCAACAAAATAGTGTTCATTTTTTGCATTTTCAGTTGGTTCGATTTCCGGTTCAAGTAAACTTTACAAAAAATCTGTGAATGCAGTTTTTTATAAAATAAAATAATGGTTTCCTTTAAGTAAAACTGACATTAAATATCTTAAATATTTAAAGTAGTTCCCCTTCATGTCCCATTGATATTTCCACCCTGTATATTGGTGAATCTATACAAGCGCGAAACACTTACGCTAGCATTGAAAAGGCGAATAAAAATACCGCTTCTATCTGAAGTGGGCCGCAAAAAGTTTGATTGCGAGATGCCTTAAATATTAGCTAGCTTACCACTTCCAGCTTCTTTCGGGTGCAATCGCCTGAGTGCTGCGGACATGTCAAGCCCGGTCAGCATCTTGACTGCCGGCGGGATGCTCCCGGCCAGACGCGCCACTTCGCCGGTCGCGCCACCGTCTCCTACCAGCAGGATCTCGTCCGTCTTGGCCAGAGGAGCTGCTACCTCAGCAGCGATCTGGAATGAAAGTATGTTACGGTTGAAAAAGTGGATTTACCATTAAAGTACAGCTAAGGATAAAAAGGTTTAATGAACCAATAATGTGACACAGTAGAGAAAATAAAGAGAAAAAACGGCAGTGGCCATTTTTTAGTAAAAAATACACACATCAAAACTGTCTAGGGATCAAGTACGTTTTTTTTAATTACTGAAAATCAGGTTAGCGTATTTCAGTGCTACTATATAAATAACAAAATTTTTTCAAAATTTCTACTAAATTACAATGTTTTAAGTTCTGCATCGAGCAAACACATCATCATTCCTCTTAGTAGAAGCATTGGCCGTAGTCGACATTGCTACCCCCCTTAACGGATTGGGAACATTACACTTATTCGAAAAATCTTCACATTCTTCTATGACGCATGTCGTCAAAGAAAGTGATTATTTAGTAAACTGGTAAATTTTTTTCGATAGGAATTTGACTCATGACCTTCGACATTCTCCCAATTAGACTACCACTGCTTGAATTTTAGGGTGAGCCAGCGGAATCATATGAACGAAGAGCTTCTGTCTTAGTGTTACATTTTAGCAACAGTAGAACATCTTGTGAAGGAATTCGTTGAAGTAATACCTATTTCTGGCAACAAACAGTAAACGTGTTACTGTGTTCCGTGTTTTGAAAGGTATAATGGTGGTGGTGAAATGGCACTTGGGATTCGGGGTGACGGGGGCAGTGACATTGCCCCTCCGATCTTTGCAATGTAAAGCTCTGAGTAGCACTGCAACTGTTACGGGTAGGCGTGTCGCTTACCACCAGGTGCACAACTTGTTCGTCCCGTCGCCTGATATCATAAAATAAGTCGTCGATGATAGGCGGTCATGTACCATTGCTTTCTGGTCAACAAGACGCGTCAACTTTATCACGTACCTTAGGCAAAGCTTCAAGGACCAACGCCATAAGAGCAGCGTCGCCATATTCCTTGTACACTTTCGCCTTGGCAAGCATTCGCTCGGCGTCAGCCTTGCCCACATCGCCGATGGCGGCGGCTTCGGCAAGACCAATCACTTTCATACGTTCTGCGTCCGCCTTTGCTTCTTCAATTTTTTTAGTACTGAAAGTGTAAGAAAATTGTTGAATTGAAAAAGAAATCGGTAAAAACTATCAAAACACAATTTAAATTACCCGTCCTCTCAACGACTCCAGTTTCATCAGAAAAACCTGGTACAAAATGACAGATAATGATAGACATTTGTAGCAAAAACAAACCAATTGAAACGAAGTTTATGAACTTTCGCCAAGCTTACCGCATTCCTTGGGAGATTGTCTGCAGACGGAAAGCCTCCGCCTCGGCAGGCAGGCGCACAGTGGCCATCAGCTCTTCCTGCCGACGTAAGATCTCTTGTTGCTCCACCTGAAAACAAGTGGAAACATTTTCAAGTTCAATAAAGCGTCCTTGCAAGTTTGTGAAGTATTAGATCCCACTACTGATACTGTTGCACGAATCTTCTCTACGGAGAGGGTTAAAGCGGTATTCCTCCACCCTGGGTTAATGCGTGTCGTAAATTTGACACGTTTTCAGTGGCATTGCGGTACAACTAGTCTCATATAAAATTCAACGCGAAAGTTGATGTCGCTTTCAAGGCACTTAGTACATGACGGAATTTTTGGTAGGCCAGCCTGGCATGACTACGTTGATCGTCAATGATTTTAAATGCTTTGATTTTAATCCAAGCAGAAGTTGGGAACTTCTGGATTTTACCTCAATTTGTTTGCGGCGCTCGACTACTTCGATCTGGATTTCTTCGGTTCGGATCTTCTGTTTGACCTTAGCTTCTTGCAACTCGTATGCTAGGGCTGCTTCGGCTTTCTGCAATACATTAATAACAATTGAAAAACAAAAACAATTTCAACGGATGTCTTGATTTGCTTACGATGCGCAGGCAGCTCAAGAGACGATATGCCAGTTTACCTTTCACAATAACACCTGAAATGAGATTATGCATTTTGAAGAATACAGAAACTGGTGTTAACCCCACGATAACTCCGGATGACATATCATGTACGCACTATTGCACAAAACTGTAACTGCAAATTATTGAGCCAGTCACAATGACACTAAATTCTTGCAAGCCTTTAAAACAACTTACGGCAGTGTTGATTTCCTGGTCGAACTGAGCCTTCTGCAGCTTGTATAAACGCATGTTGTCCTCGATCTTGGCGTCCATAGCATACTTCACGTCCATCGCGCTCTTCTCGCATTCTGCCTCCTGCAACAAAAAAACGGGAGTTTAAATTTTTACAAGAAGTTAGCCGACGATGCGTATGTCAGTTTGAAAACAAATGTAAATATTCTTAACGGTTTAATTACGACATCGAGTATATAACCAGAAATAGAGATGAAATGTTATTTAATTTGTTTGAAAACTATTCTGCCAAATCATTACTCAACTGCCTTCGTGGCCTAACGGTTACCATGCCGGATTGTCACGCAGAGGTCCCAGGTCCCAGGAGAAATAGTTGTATGGCCCACAATTATTTCTCTCGTGAGTTTGGATGTAATTTGTGGTTGTCTATGTGTGTGTCCATGGCACCCGCGACACAGGGTTTCCCTAGTGCGGGGCTATGTTGAGTGTGTGCGTTATTTATTATTAAAAAAAAAAATACTGTGACAACTGCGCTCCGATTGGCCAGCCTGCATTCGAAACAATTGGCGGGTGTCGTCAATTGTTTCACTTCAAACGACTAGTTTAACTTGAGCTTTGCTATAATGGAACGAAACGGATAATACAAAATTACGTATTTAATATTTAATTACCGAAGAAATGCGAATCCGTTTATTTTGTAATTAGATGTTTTGCTGTTTTTCCCATACCACAGAATGGAACAGCATCCATTGTTAGAGATATTATCTTTACTATAATAAATATTTTTGGAAAATACGGAGAGGTACACACAGGGCAGTAGTTGGCGCTGTACTATTTCAATTTTCTAATTTGTGATTGCAGCGCAAACCAGAGTTGATATTTAAAAGTGATATAAAGCCCATTTACCCGATGAGTTGCCAGGGATGGATGGCCCTTATTTCGTCTCTATTTCTGGTTATATACTCGATGAATTACGATCACTAAAGATTTAGAACTTTTATTTAGAACTTTTTTCAAACACCAGATGCGTAAAAAGGGCTACCACGCTTTATGCAGTTTGAGGCCCTTATGTGCAGAATTTTTCATAATTTTATCATTCATACCGATCCTTGCAAGAAAATGCTTGCTATATTCCCCTTAACTGGCTTACATCTGCTAATACCGACCCTGATTCCGGCATCCCTGTGAGCCTGCGCAACTCCAATATCAGCATCTCTCTTCACCACGGCGATCTGCGCCCTGCCCAAGCTGGACAGGTACTCGACTTGATCGTAAACGTCCTTGATCGTGAATGAGAGTATCTCTATTCCCATTCGACCGACGTCCGGAGCTGCTACTTCGCGCACCAAGGCCGCGAACTGGTCTCTGTCTTTGTACACCTCTTCTACTGTAAGAGTTCCTGCAAGGAAGAAGATAAGGACATTTAACACAAGTTACATAGCGGCGACGACTGCCGAAAATCAGTATAAAGATCTATTAACAAAAACAGGAGATAAATCTGCAATAGATTTCTCATAGATGGCGCTACGACTAAAAAGTCGTTGAAAGACCAAGTACAAAGACACGACGCAAGCACATAGAAGAATTCGTGAGGTCCGTTGGTTCGTTCCGTGGCTTAGTTGGTATAGCGTCTGGCACGGTATGCAAGAAGACGTCGGTTCGAATCCGACCGGATCGAGGGAATTTTTTCTGAGTGTTTTTTCTGAGTGTTCGATCTTTGTATTAATAATTATAAAAAACACGAGAATTTCGCCAACTCGGTAACTGGAGCCTTAGCTCGGATGGTCAGAGCAATGCTATAGTGCAGCATGGACTTGGGATCATGTCCCACCGGGTTGACGAAAATTTTTCTATGTGTTCGATCTTTATATTCATAATAATAACAGGTAACATATTTTAATTTCCTTGGTTTTGTGTACCCTCAGATCTTTGCGATTTAAAGCTCTGAGCGGTACTGCAAGTGTAATGGTGAAACGCGTCGCTTACCACCAGGCGCGTGACTTGTTAATCCCGTCACTTGCTATCATAAAGAAAAAAACGCGACTTTTAGTCGTAGGTTTTAGCATAGGTTTGTATGGAGTGACCTTTGGAGTGACAAATAGAATTGGTTCATCTCGACTCGTATTAGAATTGAGGTCGAATCAAATTGTTTTGTTTTTCGAAGATGTTCGAAATTTGAATTAATAAAATCGAATTTAATGTTATTAGCAATAATAACATTTTCACAGACAAGAAATTTGTTCCAACAAAACAGTTTATTTTTATGCTGCTTATAATTTGCGGTTTTTTAACACATCATAGAGGGTTTATAATATGTGTGTAGATAAAATCCCTTAGGTGCCAATATCTCGAAAGTTACCGAGCAAATGCGTTAGTCATGACAAGGGCAAAATGTGTGTTAGTGCTTTTTCAACATGGCAGTCTGTAGCAGAACTTCGGCGACACAATTAGACATGGCGCCATTTTGGTGAGTTACAGATTTTTTTTCAAAACCACTATTTCCCGATACCTATTTATAAAATAATTTTTATTATTATTACTTCCAATTATATGAATGTATGTAACGTAAATGACATATCGTATAAGTTTCATTATAGCATTTTGAAATTAATAATTAACTCCAACAACAAATCGATGCCTTAGTTTCTCAAACTCGTATCATAAAAAGAGTGATTATTCAGGAGATGGCAAAACTTTCTATTTATTTTAAATTTCTTATCAAGGGGGTTAATGGATGCATTATTTTAAGAATAGGTAAAAGCCAGTGTGTGAAATGTGATGTGAAAAAATCAGCCTGCAAAATTTGTATATAGGTACAAACCATATTTAGCATTTCAATAACTTTGTGCTTTAAGACAAGAGTTTGAAAAAGTAAGGCGATGAAATGCTAAATCTAGTTGACGACTGATGAGAAAACACATCGCGGAACATTAAAACATAATATTTCAATAGATCTTCCTGTTCGTTTGCCGCTGCGTACACGCGTAACTAATTATATTAAAGAATATCGTTTAACTGTAATTATGAAATTCGTTCTTGAATAAATTATACAATAATAATGTGAAAAGGTACAATTTCAGGCCCGAAACATCCCTCAAATGGTACAGTGAACATGAAAAGTTGCTGATCACGTATATTTTCATGATAACTTTACTTCGTTAACATTAAATGTTTTTGGAATGACGTAGCGAGATTTCATACTACACTCACCGCCAAATTTAGCGGAAATCTAGTAAGATCCCTAAAATAATGCGACCTAAAAATATTGTCGTAAGGCAGTCTCCGTTTTCTGTCTATGTTCCTCGAAGTTTAGGTAAAAAAGCTCTACCTATTCCGATCCCTGCTTATTATCGATCGCTGGCTGCCGCTTCCACCGGGTGGGACGGTGATATGATGAGTGCGATTACGTATCTTATATCGATCATATAAACTACGTAAATAAACGCCTTGTGCATTTGATTTTCATCCTCCCTCGCTTCGTATACCTATTACATTACTATTTTATTTTAGTAGCCCTAGAGCTACTTGTGAATGCGTTCGCCCAGGGAAGTACCAACTGCCACCTTACCTATTTCAGCCGCTAAGCACTAATGCTCACGTTGCTACGTTCCGATTTTGAAAGGGTGCTGGTGAAATTACAGGCACATGGAAGTTGTCTGTGAAACTTTTTTCTATAACGCCCCTCTGAAATTGCTAAAACTAAATGAGCCCTTTTATATAATTATCCACTGGACTAACATGCATTTAATGGCTTATTTCTTTGTCCCAATTTCAGAGGGGCTCTATAACAAAAGTATTCCTTATTAATGGATGGGATAATCTGTGTTACGGGTGCACCGTAATTAAGTTAACAACTCGCGTAGTTGCTTGTTTATAGGAAAATATCCGCCAGTTCATACTAGCTCATAATTACATTAAAAGTAAATAAATCATAAACTAAAATTTCAGACGTAATCTAGTGTAAAATTATATTTAGCAATTTTGTAAAAAGCGACAAGGAACATACTAGTTTTAGCTGGTAATACAATATTTGTAACATACAAACTTTTTATATAAAAAAAAACAAACCTCAAAAGCTCGTGGAATTACATCTATTTGTCAAGTTTTATTGGAATTGGTTAACGGAAAGTGGGTGAAATCCAATAAACCGGATTCATCCCTTAATTTGTCACTCTTAGAGGTGGAATATTTTCTTCAAATTTGAATTGGAGCACTACGAGATACCCCCTTTCCAACAACAAAGAAGTTTCGAAATTGGTTCACAAATGTCAGAGTAATGGCGTAACATATACACAAACATACAGTTGAATTAAGAACCTCCTCTTTTTTTGAAATCGGTTAATAATAACAAATAAGAGATTAAAAATGTATATATTTAGATCACAGTTTCCCAAAGTAGTCGCTACCGGCCCATAGTGGGCGCTGAAGAGTCCTGGGGGTAGGGACCTCGGAAGCAATTGGGGGGCGTTGATGCTGTCCAGGGGGTGCTACCGCAATTGAAAAAAAACCTGAATTATCTACATAAACTACACTACATGTATATGCTTTTTCCTTGTGATTTTTTTGTGTTGAGTGAGCATAAAAAATTACGTGTTTTCCAATTATTTTGTGGTGGTGGGCGTTGAAATTCTTTTATCTTGCCTAAGTGGGCGATGAGCTAATAAGTTTGGGAACCTATGTTTTAGATACTTATTTGAAATTACATACAACTTGTCGTGTTACGACCGTTCTGAAGGGGTAAAGAATGAAAATATTAAAGGGCTGAAGATTATAAGCAGTAAACAATATATATAGGTATGCATAAAAAAGAAGTGAGCATAAGTGATGTAGTGTATAGGTGAATATAGAAGGTGGGGACACGGAGTTGGAGGCTTCTGTCCGTAGTACAGCGTGTCACGGTATCGTGAAGAACTTTCAGTAACCGTTCTTGCTGGCCAGCAACCGTAATTACAGTGCGCGGCGATTGACTTTCGCCACGCCCGAGCCCGACACATCCTTGCCGTAACAAAGTTTCAACTAGCACGGAAGGTAAGGAACATTTTTGACAATATGAGTGTATGAATGATGTATACTATTCAAAAATCTGTACAAATTCAACTGTTAAACTGTTATATTCTCTTAAACTATTTCATAAGTGGTATTGTAAACATTTGATGAAATACATTTTTATTATTATTATTATCCACTTAGTACTAGTATGGCTAGACGTTAATAAGTAATGTACCACCGCAGGACGATCCGCCATGTGCGCGTTTAGTAAATAAGCTAATAAACATTGTTGAAGTATTATTCCAGCCTTTTAGTTCCAAGTAGCTTCCCCCGTGGATAAGTAGGAAGTTAAGCAAGAGAATCTCGTACTACAAAGGTTCGGTGTAACCGACAACCTCTCTCGGTCTCTCTTCTAAGAGCCTCTATTCCATGTACGGCAGTGTACCACTAACCTTTTTATACACGACTGTTGTTTTAGACACGACAAATCATATTTTTATATTTAATTTTACTGTAAACGCTGTTACTGTTCATAGAAGGGTTAAGAACTTGATTCATTCGTTTTGTTAAATGTATTTTACGGAATTGCGAATAATACTCAAAGCGCACTTAATTTTCCGCCAAAAGCGGTCAATTTTTCAATTTTTCCACAATTTTTTCATCAAAAGTCTACAACAACTTACCTCTTGATATTGAAGACGGTTAATCCGATGGTTAGTGTCAAAGGGAACAGCGCCAGTTTTACGAAATCCATTTTGCTTGCCCGCTTCACATTGACATTACTTATCACTTTTTAATTTTTTCTAATCTTTAAAACATTTACTAGATTATTATTTTTACAATAGGAAGACTACTTTCTCGTTCATATATTTTTTAAAACTTTGTTAGTCGTGTCTTTGATTAATCGAATAAGATTAAGCACTTTTTGTTTTTCACTTTTTCCTGAAATGGATGAATACTAAACAATAGGCTATAATATATTGAAGAACCGGTGCTTCGTCGAAAAAAATCGATTTTGATTATTTTTATCGTTTGACTTCAGTAATGGATGAATATTAAACAATAGGCTGTATATTGAAATACCCGTGCTCTCTAGAAAACGCAACAAAATCGATTTTGTTTTGAAATTCAATTTTGTAAATAAATTTTTTATTCGATATTGCAAATAGATATTGGTAGATAATAAAAATTCGACTTTGTAGAGTATTGTAATACACAGTGGAATATTTTATCAAAAAATGGTGGGTCTTTGTAGTTAAAGGTTTTATATGAATTACTTTTTAATTTAAATTACGTATTGAGTTTCATAATTATTTGTTAACTTTTTAAGCTGATGGCTCTATAGGCAATGCTCAATAAATAAAGTGTAGCAGTAGAGCTCCTTGCGAAAGAGGTCATCCAGGAAAGTAC